ATGAGATTAGAGTGACTAACTTAGTGCTTTGCTGTTAAGTTACTATAAAATCCCATATGATGTTCGGCATTTATGGCTCTTTTGAAACAACAGCTTTCTGCATGCCAAAGACTTAAGGATTCCCTGAATGTTTCCACTGAATGCTAATAATTTGTTGCAATTCATAAACATACACTACACTTAAAAAGATGGCTGACCAGTGGTCAGTTTATAAAGACCTCCGCAATGATTTTCAGTGGTAATTAAATCCACATTGCAGGAAGTGGCGGTTTAAGGACAGGCTTTAGGCTCTGGATGAAGGACCACTCTCATACTGCACTTTAAACATTAGATGTCTCTTTGTGGAACTTTACTCTGTACCAAACAAAACCTCATTTTCAAGCTGCTGTAAAGCACGGCGGGAGTCAATTTCAACAATACACTCAGGAGAAGTGGCCAGTTCATAGCAAGGTCAACAAAAGACAACCATTCTCATGCACACCCCCACTCTTACAGTAAATTATCCTAATGTGCATGTTTTAGACTGTGAAAATCCACATGTGCATTGGAAGAACATGACAACTCCACTGAAAAAGACTCCAGCTGAGATTTAAACTTGAGAACTTCTTGCTTTAAGATACCAGTGCCACCCATCACCCCACTGAGCAGTCCCCAGTGGCCCAGTATTGGTTGTCTGAGGTTGTGCCAAAGGTCCAACAAATGGTCAAGGCAAAATATTCACAATAATGTCAGAGTACACATCAGAGTGGGTCTGAACCACTACCACAACAGTACCAGAATGAGTGGAGGCTGACCAACTTTATATTACTGCTTAGTTCCCAAATCTGGTGTTGGTCCTGAAACATTAAGAGAAGGTCATGAAATAATCTCTAGAAATCAAACACTAGTAGTCATAGATGGATGAAGACGGAACAATGGATGAGCCTGTATGTGTTATAGCTTTTTATTTGTTGAAACGGCCTTTTAGCAGTGTTGGTTTACTTCAGCCAGCAGCGGTTTAAGTGTAAGTCTCTGCTATTGTTATTTTGTGGTATGGAAGACAAAAAGTTTGGAAACCACCGTCTATACAAAAGGTCTTTATTTGTAAGGTAAACACACAATCGATGACCGACACGGACACTGTTTACAACGCACAAACAAACCTATCCATGTGTTTTCTTTACCTGCTGTTCCTTGCTGGTTCTTGGGGGAACTGGTGCCTATCTCGAGCAATCGTAACGCGACAAGCGGCGTACATGTTGGACTGCTCGCAAGTCCATTACAACAAACAAATCTACGGTCAGAAAATTACACGGACTTTAAGAAGAATGAAATACGGGCAAAAGTCTTCAGTCTTCAAAGCATCAGCTAACTGTGGTGTAACTTGTTCTGTTTTGCTGGTTTTAGCTACACCACATGCATCGAAATGAATTGTTTTTATTTACAATGAACTGTTACTGTTTGTGATAAACAGTTTTTGTCACATGCATCATATGTTGTTTTTGTATTATGCAATCTTTTTACCATGACATGAAAAAATCTGCTGAGCACGATTTTTTTTTTTGGTAGTGCAATTGAGGCCACTATTTGGCCTCAATTAGTTTTGAAAACTACCAAAACTTTGGATTTCCAAAATGTTTGCAAACGCTCTCCATTTCCTCAGGTGGGTTCCAGGGTATTTGTTTCATTTCACAGGATCATTAATCATATTCTGAAAAAATCCACACAAGAAGCTTTGTCTAACTAATAATCGCAAGATCTCTGGAACCCATCTTAAACCCTTCCCAATTTAGTTTCTATAACTATAGCCAGCCATTGATCTCGCATCTATCATGGGGGATATGTTCCAGAGACTCCCGCGGTAGATGAAAATCCACGAAGTAGCGGCTTTATATTTATTGTATTATTTATATAGGTTTTATAAACCCTTCCCACACTCCTACAAACTTTTCCCACTCTCTTATTAATCTTTCCCACTCTCTTCTAAACACTTCGTATGCTCAGACACTTTGGCGATGGCCATGATGATAAGAATGTACAGTACTGCACAACATGTACAGTACACACAATATAAAAAAACAGGTTTAAAAAACTGGGTAAAAAAAACGGGTTTAAAAAACCTGCGATACAGTGAAGCCGCAAGAAGTTACCCGCGATATAGCGAGGGACAACTGTACCTTTTTATTGATGTGTATGTAATGTCCCATCAATATCTGACCCTAATTTTTCCAGACGTTCATGCAAAAATGTATTTTAGTGTGATTCCATGTGAAAATGTATGTAGTTTCTCACAAATTTGTATCTCCAACTAGTGACCAACAATCGCAGCCCATTGAGCTACTAAGTTTTGCTCACTTTGCACCCACCTTGGTCTGCTTTACTTTACTTACTTGCCGTGGGACCAACCTTGGCAGTTTCCCCAACATTGATGGTTTCATCTACTGGTGTTTTATTATTACTCCCTTCTCTAAATTAAGTAGGTTGATGTTTACAATAGTCTCTAGCCCTGTCCTAACCTAACCCCTAATCCTAACCTTTGATGTCCATCTGTCAAGGGCAGATATAATCTCAAAAAACACTACCCTTAACCTCTGACCTCTAGCCCAAACCATACCTTGACCTTTGCAAAGAATACAAGAATACACTCTATAAGGCAAAAAATACTTTGTGGAGTCAAGGATGAAATGATGAGGTATGCAAAGGTACATTAATACAACTGTTCAAGACTAAAGCACAAGACAAGCAAAAATGTACTTCTCTTGCTGAATAAAGGAAATGATGTATGTGGATGTTTCACTTTATTTAAAGAAAAGTGTACATTGCCAACACAAATACAGTCACGCTCTTTTTCAAATACACATACAAATGACGCCCTGCCCACCTGCTCCTGAGTGAAAACTGAAATTATTATGAGCAAACGCTGTTTCCCCTGCGAGTACGCCACGCAGTGTCCTCTTTTCTCTGAGTAAATACACTCTATCATACCTCTAAAACTTCGGAGGTCAGGATATTTTTATCACTTCTGCTGATAAGGTAATGTTTACTGTAGGGTTTACCTTTCAGAACTAAATGTACCACAGCCTCGGCTCGATACTTTTGCCTGACGTTGCAATTTAGACGCACTCCGCCATATGGCTCTCTGCCACCACTGACCAAGGCTCAGCAGTGTGTGTACGTAGCTCCAGGCCATGATGCTAATGTGCTCAGAAATATTAAAACACTTTTTTCTTTTGGAGTATTTATGCTGAATAAAGCAAAATGTCTGTATGTAAAACAGTTTGTTCACACACGAGCATGGATCCGGTTTGGACTCTTTTAGCTGAGTTCAGGGAATGAGTCAAACTGTAGCACTGCGAGCACCGACCCACTGATCCGTCCATACCAATTATCTGTGTAGGGTGGAGTCCCAATTCAATATTCAATTTACACAATTCAATTTCCCATCAGAGCCTCTGGCTGCACAGCCCACCAGTGTCAGGACCGTGACAGACAGAAAAACATTAAACAAGTGGAGGTTCTCCTGCGAGAGCGTCAACCGTCTGGCAAAGTGGGAAAGAAATGGGTCGGCTGACAAGGGGGTGTCGCGCCACGGGGTGGGTGTCCATTGAGAGACAAGCGAGAGGTGGAGGGGCGAGGAATCCATTGAGCGCAGCCACGGGGGGTCAATATGTGAATGAGCGTTTGCCATAGAGGTGAATTATGAATGAGCAGCACTCTGAGCACTCCTGGAGAGAGCGTGTCAGCGTCCTCCGCCTCTTCAACTCCACGGCTCTCCTCTGCTTTTGCTTCTCACTTCTCTCCCGCCGCCTCCTCCTCTTCCTCCCGTTGTCCTAAAACCTCCATCATCCCTTCCTTCCTTGCATCCCCGATCTGCGTTTCATCCCTCGCCTCTGGATTAATCTGCCTCGTCGCTGGTCACCTGACTCTGCCCCTCCACCCTCTGGTATGCAGACCAGAGGTAGACACGCACCGTCCGTCCGTCTGTCTGTCTGTCTGTCTGTCTGTCTGTCTGTCTGTCTCAGGAGACGACTCAACACACTCGTGCATGTTTGCACAGACTCAGAGGGATGCACACACACACACACACAGCAGAGGAAGACAATATAAGAGCAAACAGTCCTGCACGTGCGACAGCAGACGAATGCATTAAGTGAAAGGCTCCCATTGCGCACGCACACACACACACGCACACACACACACACACACATTTCTGCCAGCTGTTCTTCTGGTGACTGTGTGTGTGTGTGTGTGTGTGTGTAATCCAATGTGCTGCTGCTCAGCCTGTGCCACGCTCTCTCCTCTGTTGCTGTGCCTCTGATCAGATCTGCCTCCCTCAACCTGTTTGCTGTATATGACACACACACACGCACACACACACACACACACACGCACACACACTCACACACACACACTCACATATGGAAGCTGCTACTACTTATCCAGCCTGTTTAAAGCTTTGGGAAAACAGAAAATTTATTCAGTGTTGTTTTTGCAACATTAAGCAAAGACGTGTTAAAAACACAACTCCTGAACACACACTTATGTGCACACACACACTCACACACTCACACACACTCACACACACACACACACACACACACACACACACACACACACACACACACACACCAGTGTGGTGGTGGAGGTAGGGGTGAAAGTGGACTCTGACTTCTTTAAAAGGAAGACTTCTCCCCCCACCTCCTGTTTTTCTTTTGCTCAATTTAAAGTAGCATATGGGAGGTGTGTGTGTGTGTGTGTGTGTGTGTGTGTGTGTGTGCGTGTGCGTGTGTAATGGAATTGGATCAGGCTGTTCCCTAAAAAAAAGTAGCCACTCCTTTTGATCCCTTCACTCCAGTTTACAGTGGTCACTTCTGCTCACTTTGTGCACTTTTATACCTCTGAAAAATCAACCTCTGTCCTCACACGCACACCTCAGTGTACAGTGACACACACGCACCTTCACATTTCCCTTTAAATCCACGCAGCTCACACACACACACACACTCACTCCGTGGACTCACCTTTAGGATCCTGCTCTGAGTTCCAGATGAAGCTCCTTCTTCTTCTCTTTCTTCTCCTCCACTCTTCCTCTCCTTGTTGTCCACACTCTTCCTCTCCTTCGTCCCTTCCTCGCGACCTCTCCACGCGTCTCGTGTCCTCTCTCTGTCGCTTGGTTTCCGTTCTAGGTCACTTTTTTGCGGCGTTCTTCCCGAGCCCCTCCATTATTCCGCCCCGCCAGTCGTTTCTACTAGCACCAAGCGAACGAGCGCGCGCGCACACGCATACACGCTCGCACGAGTCGCAGCCGCGTTCCTCTGGTCTCCCTCCGTTTATCCCTCTCTGCGCTCTCTCCTCTGACGGAGAAGAGCTCGTGTGAGTGTGTGTGAGCGTGTGCATGTGTGTGTGCGTGGACGTGTTTCTGGGCTCTGCCTCTGACTGCATGTCTTGCCCCGCCAGCGGCAAAGGACTTCCCCCGGCGGCCGCCCCGGGTCCTAAAGAGAGTCGTGTTCACTGAAAGAATGCCACATTGAAGATGAAGCCAAAGATCGTCTATAAACGTGACAGGACGGTTCACTCAACCTTTTCATTTCCTTGACTATAATTGAATTGTACTAACAAAGCTTGTAATATTAACATTAATACAAATCAAAATTGTAGCTTATTTTATTAAATACAGTACAGCATTTGGGGGTCTTGTAATCCTGAGGTTGCAGGTTCGAGCCCAGGTTGCGTCAGGAAGGGCATCCAGCATTAGGCCTGTCGCAATAAACATTAAATCAATTAATCGCATAAATGAAAATTAGTGACTTGATTTTCATTTATTGGCTTTATGGTTTCTTCGTGTCTCTCTTTCTACTGAAGACACTGGATGATAAAAAGCTCAACTCCGGTGCTCTTCACTGACCCCTCCATTTCTCTTTTCTCTCTAAAATCTGTTTTAATCGTCCAAAATCGCGTTTTTGGATCGTTAAAACTAAGCTGAGAAGCTAAGCTACGAGCTAATCTAACAGGCCTACCTTGAGAAAAAAACCTCCGTCTTGTCGAAGCTCCAAAATTCACAGTTAAAACCCGTGCCTTTGTGTAAAAAGTTTTTCTCTGCAAAAAGAAGCTGAGAACTTGTTTACTGATTTTAAAAAATATATTTTATTAGAAGCTTTGTGTGAGAAATGCTACGCTAAAGAGCTCAAACCACACCGAGCAGCCGTCATTTTGAGATCAGGAAAAAAAGAAGGCAAGACAGCCCATGTCACATCAAGGGACCTCCCTCCCATTTTACTTAAAGAGACACACTGCTTGTTCCCTCACTATCCATCCTTCGGTTCAAACAGTCTTATACTGCCATCGGGTGGTCAAAAAAGGTACTATACACAAAATAAAATTAATAACATTTCTACTTAAATTTGACAATAACTACTAATAATTGCCAAATTTCAAACAATATTATCGTTTATCGCAATAAATTCAGAGACAATTAATCGCCCAGTAAAATGTTATCATGACAGGCCTATCCGACATATGACAAAATGCCAAATCTTTCGTGCGAGTTCGCTGTCCGTGGCAACCCCTGATGAAAGGAGCAGCCAAAAGTAACTTACTATTTTAACTAGTAGGGTAAACAATGCAGGCAGCACGTTGGCGCAACTGGTAGAGCTGCTGCCTCTCAGCGAGCAGGTCCCTGGTTCAAATCCCGGTCCAGGGGCCTTTCTGGGTGGAGTTTGCATGTTCTCTCCGTGCATGCGTGGGTTTTCTCCGGTTACTCCGGTTTCCTCCCACAGTCCAAAAACATGCATGTTAGGCTGATTGGTAACTCTAAATTGTCCTTAGGTGTGAGTGAGAGAGTGAATGGTTTTTTTGTCTCGTTTGTCTCTATGTGGCCCTGTGATAGACTTGCGACCTGTCCAGGGTGTACCCCGCCCCTCGCACAGTGATTGCTGGACATGGGCACCAGCGACCCCCGTGACCCAAAATGGAATAAGCGGGTAAAGAAAATGGATGGATGGATGGATGGGTAAACAATGCCTTAGCATAAAAGGCAAACATTAATTAGCACAACAGACTTCCAGGGGCAGCACGGTGGCGCAACTGGTAGAGCTGCTGCCTCTCAGCGAGCAGGTCCCTGGTTCAAACCCCGGTCCGGGGGCCTTTCTGGGTGGAGTTTGCATGTTCTCTCCGTGCATGTGTAGATGAACATATGCTGTATATATTCATAGATTAAACGGATTCTTTCATTTTTCTGGACTGGATAATATCGTGCATTGAATAATTAAAAATGTAACGTGAGACGTTAATTTTCTTTGACCCATCAAAATGAACGTGGTCATTTATTTACAGAATCAAGTTTAACATCACACATTTACATTAATTGGCAAATTGAAAATAACAACAACAGGTTAAAACAATCAGCTTTACAATCAGGAAAACCATTCGGCCATGATTTTCCGTTGCTTCAAGCTTCGCACAGACATTTCTGGAAAATATCTGGAATGATTTCTAGCAAAAAGAAGAATTTTAAAGATGGAAAATGAAGTTTAAGTTGAGAGAGATGGGGAGGGAATTTGTCTGTTATACCAGAACAGCACGCTCCTTCTAGACCAGCTTGACCCAACGGTACACTTTGGTTGAGATCCACTCTTTACCTTTGCAGATGATAGTTTCAGCGTTGGTGTAGAGCTTTCCTTTCAACTCTTCCAGCGTCTCCGTAAGAACAGCTAAACCTCAGGAGTCGTGAGGTCATCCCAGAACAGACATTTCATAATTCCCTGATCTTCTCTCGTTCAGCTTATTTTTCTTCCTCCAGCATCCTGAATTCCAGCCTTCTGAACTCTGGAACTGCTGTGAACTAGGAAGTGGTGCACCTTTTAAAAAGGGTCACTTCCGGTTCATTTGAGGACTTTCTGATTGGTCGATGGACCAACAGAGGTGGGTGTGTTTTTGTGATGTAAGGTGTTATTAAAAAGTCAAGGAAAAAGATTAGATTGTTTAAGAACAGACAGAAGATATTATGAAGAACTCAGACTTCGTGGAGTCACTTCTCTAGTATCTTCCTGTAAAAGTTAAACATGACATTTCTTTTTCAGTAAACTTGCAGTTGACCGAAACTTGAACTTTGACCAACTTACACAACTTGCTCATTTCAGACAGACGATCAAGAAATTGAATCATTACTCTGTAACATATTCCAACTTGATTTCCACTTTGAATGAGGATTAAAAATCGTTATTACTGTTTCACAGTTGATTTAAAAATGAGTAGTTCACTTCAACATTTAAAAATGGTTTGAACTAACACACTTCGATTATCAAACATTTGTAAAATAGTGATGATAATAGAAAAAGAGAGTGTTCTTTCAATTGATCAGTGCAGGACACTTAGAAAGTCTTCTGGATGGACTTAAATCAATGAAATACAGTTCTTGTCCCAGGAAGGCCCCTCAAGGCCAGATTTGACCTGAGGCCTAGTTCACTACACATGCGTGGGTTTTCTCCGGGTGCTCCAGTTTCCTCCCACAGACCAAAAACATGCATGTTAGGCTGATTGGTAACTCTAAATTGTCCTTAGGTGTGAATGAGAAAGTGAATGGTTGTTTGTCTCGTTTGTCTCTATGTGTCCCTGTGATGGACTTGCGACCCATCCAGGGTGTACCCCGCCCCTCGCACAGTGATTGCTGGACATGGGCACCGGCGACCCCCGTGACCCAAAATGGAATAAACGGGTAAAGAAAATGGATGGATGGACTTCCAGGAAGTGACTGATTTGCTTTAGAAAAGCTAAAACTGCAGAAACTACTGACACAAAATTTTGTTCTTATAAAACAAAAGAAAAAAATTAACCACCCATAACACGCAAAAACACAAATCAAAATAATAAAAAACGACAACAGACGACAAACAAGCAGCAAAGAGGGAACATTTTAAGCGATAGTTCTGATATTACGAGATGAGATTCTCTAGAAAGGTTATGAACAAATGAATATCTTACCTGTTGTAGATAGTTTTTTAAATGATCTCAGTTTGGGGAAATGGAGATAAATTCTGACTCAACTGAGAAGATAATGACGAGTCCAAACGGAGAGAAGACTAGAAATAAATTGCTGCTGTCCTAAATAACTACAATGTGTATATATATATATATATATATCCACATATATATAAAGATATAGATATAAAGAGCGTCG